TGTTACAGTCTGGAAGGCTTGAAAGCTTCAGGAGAACCTGTTACACTCAGAAAAAGAAAATACTAGGAAGCAAAAAGACGCGGCGAGATTGAGAACTTGCGAAACAAGAGCTGTAACATCCCAGGTTGCAAGACAGGAAGCCTGATGGCTTCGCATCGATTTCACCCATGAAGTGTTGTTTAGTACGGGAATCCGTATATTGTGGGGTCCACTGCGATGGCTGGTTTCCTTTTGGTTTCCCTTTGGATACCATTGCAAAGGGGGTCTACCATTTTGAGAATCTCCTATTTCAAGATTTTGCTTCGGCTATTGTGATTCACCAAGACTTTGCATTGTTCAGTGAGAAGAAGAGGATCCTGGGCTGCTTAGAGCGCAACGCGCCCGAGTCCCCGTTCCGCCCCAACGGATCCATGAGATGCCAACGGGTGGATAACCCTTTTTTCTCTTGCACAGGCGGGGTGGGGTTCATTTTTCGGTATCCCTTTGAACACAACCCACGCAATTGGTGCCCCCCGTTTTGAGGGGGAAACAAAGTGGGAGACTCCTGGAACCAAAGCAAAACAAAGCTTGCGAACCGGCCGAGGCCGCAGTGGGTGCGGCCGGTTAGCCGAGCTCGGGCCAAAAGTGGCAACTTCTTGAGTTAAATCCGATTCTGTGGCTTCATCCCAGTGGCTTGCTTTGGCCCTTTTCACCCGCTTTTTGTGTGTGTGTTTTTGGAGGGGGCAACTCTTTGAAATCAACCAAAAGGAGTCCCATGAAAATTCACCGGGAGTCTGGGAGGTAAAGAGTATTCGTGGCTGATTGATAGCACCTGTTTGTTGGGCATCCAGATCCCGCAAGCGGAACCGATGACTTCAGTTGCAGGTCTCAAGCACCTCTTCCGGTTACATTGAGCGGGTCCCAAAACTGATTCCTATGTAATTGTTCTGTTGCAGGTGCTGTCCTAACAGAAGGGGCAAAGTGACTGCCAATTGTTCACCGCTCCTACCATGGCTGACATTGTTTTTGAAGTACCCCGCAACCCCATGACTACATTGTTGAACCTCATATTATGTTGAGTGACGGGGCTTCCCGGAATCGAACAAAACAAGGCGTCCTTTTTGGTATGTGATGTCCCTCTTTTTGAGCGGTTTTCAACCAGAACCGACCCCAGTGCAGAAAGTGTTCAACGTGTTTGTTGACTAGTGGGCAAATACACATGTCCCGAGCAAGTTTAAGAGCAAAGATCTAACTGTCGCCTTGGAAACGTCCGGACCCGTGATCTAAAACTTGATGGAAATGACCCATGGCAACTAAGGATTTCGATGTTCTAAAATCCCATCCAGCAACATCCAGCAGCCATGCTTCCACATCACATATGGCAGGTGAACCAAAATGAGAGGGATTGGGGTGGGGGGATGGATAGCCACAGAGCTATGGGTTGGTTCCACCCTCCATGTGTGTTTTCCTCAAAACCGGACCCCCTCGCTTGGGGTGACGTTCAAAGGGAAACGAAGCTAGGATCAAGCCCTGCCAATGAACGGGGGGGCATCCGGCAGAGTGGAGTTCATTTTTTGGAATTAACCTCACGACTTTTGGCCTGCCGGAATTGCTTTGAGGGCGATGAATTGATGGAATCCCGGTCGGGGGTTTTGAGCGGAAACGGATTGACCCTTCGGTTGGACCAAAGCCACCGTTCGATCTTGCGAATGAGAGCAGTGTTCAACCGGAATAGCAAGGAGGGGCCTATCTCCTTAAGCCTTCTGAGAGCCTCATTGAGCCCACCCTTCCGCAGGCTTCCTAATCCGGGATTCCACGAATTGGGGCTGAGTCTCTCGCCGCGGTGAGTGCATGCACTCGTGCAGAAATGCTGTTCTCACTTAAGTTGGCGTTGATAGCGCTCAACTCTCCACAACCACTCGAGTAATCCTTAGTTGGTGTTTTGGATTGGTGGGAATTGGGGATTGACACTTTGGTTCTTGTAGGGGGTAGAATGGGAAACTTCCTCGAAAAAACCACCAAGCCACTGGGTTCCAAACCAATTAATTGAAGCTGAATCATGGAACCTTACCTTGGGGGCTCCTGGACCTTTAGAAAACATTTAAGGGCCATGTTCCATGGCGTCAGTCCGGAGGGTAATCCTGCCAGCTGGGTTTTCAAGCCCACGGATCGAATCCCACCCTTCCAACCCAGTTTGGCTTCCCACAGTCCATACTTTGATGCCTCCAAAAGGCAACCCCGCACTGCAAACACTCAGTTTTTTGGCCGGAGCATGAATGGCATGATGTCAACCCTAGCCGTTGCCTTGAAACACCAAGTTTTTCAAAGTATACGGAGTAGAGGGAACCTCTGATCTCTAGCTCTTGTGGGCAAGTGTTGCTTCTTTTGGGCTGCCCAAAGGCAAATCGACCCGTGAACCCAACCATGCTTTGTGACACCCAATAGGTGATCACCTTTTGTGTCACCTTTTGTTTCGCACTCTCTGAGTGAGATGAATAGCATGAACACAAGCAGCTTTGACACTGCAAGCAAGGGCCAGTGTCAGAACCGGCCCATGTTTTGCATGAGGGCTGAGTTGACATGGTCAAAGATGCTTCCATGTAACTCCCCAAAGAGGCGAGTGACCCGAGATTCGCGTGGGACCACTAGACGGACTACTGCAGAAGGGCCTGAATTCGGCCGTCCAAGAACTCTCGATCGCCTCAAGGCGTAGTTACGTGGCCATGGGGCATAACCTATGGCTCTATTTTTGAGTGGGTGAACATCCATTTGCCAGCCATCTTGATGTAGGGGTACAGGGTTTTGACCCACAGCCATGCAGCCCTTCTCCCGCCGTGTTACAAGAATCGTCGTGGCTCGAGCCGCAGAACTCGACGCTTCGGCTCCCCAGCTCTTAGCCTCAGGGACCGAGCAAAAGAGGGGTTCCTTGGGCATGGACCCAGTCTGCCAAACTCGGCGGCCCAAAAATTGGCCCAACAACGGGTTGCTCCGTTTGGTTATTCCAAAAATGGGTTGCTCTTTTTGTTCTCCGTTACCAAGCTGGAAGGGGTAGCCGCAAAAAGGCACCCTTCCAATTGCCATGGTAGGTGACCAGGAGATACCATCCACAACTGAACCTGCAACCAAACAGAACGAGATACCTACATTTGGGTAAGGCACTGGGTCTGCCCAAGCCATGTGGGTGTCTATCTTTAGGCTTCGGACCCTCAAAATAGCGCAACGGTTGTCCTTTTTGTTTACATTCAAGGCAAAATACCTATTTGCTCCCTAAAAAAAGAGCTATTTGCTCTGTAGATGGAAGATCTATTTTTCTTTGGTATCCTTGATGCGCGGCGGCTCGCCGGCGCCGCGGCGGCGACGCCTGTGCATCAACTGGGCCGGCAAGGCGTGGCGCGGCTGCCAGGGTTCCTTGGCCTTTTAGGTGGTTCAAAACATCACCCTTTTGGCCAATAAGAACTGGGTGTCCCGTCAGCATGACTAGGGCATCCAGAGGACAAGGATTGGAGAAACGCAGGCCAATAAGAACTGAGTTTCCTTGTGTGGTGATGTTCAAAGAGAGAAAAATAAGTGATGCATTTTGAAACACCTTCTTTTCTGGGGGAAAGATTCGAAAGGAACAAGTTGCTGAATAAAATATTGAGCCATGGTTGAGAAGTAGAAGCCCCGGTTGATTTGGAGCACGGGAAGCACCCTTCAAGTGGGACTCCGCATCACTGTTTGGGACACACTATGAATCCCCCACAACGTGTCGGCGTGCCTGCTATTTTGATTGGATCCTCAACGATTCCTCAATGAAGCGCCCCTTAATCCCGGGCGCCGCAGCGCAAGGAAGCTCAAGAGGCAAACCTGAGCCTTCATTTGCTTGAGTCCCATGATGCAAAAAATGAACACATATGTCCAGCGGTTAGATGAGCACCTAAAACCCAGGGGAAAAACATTAAAACTGCTCAAGCCATTTGGACGCACCCTTTGTCAAAGGAAAGCCGTCAGGGGGCAAAGATCTCTTGGCTGGAGATACCAAGGCCTGATTTATGTTTGGACCTGGAATCTTCAGAAGCCAAGGGTACCCGAAAATACCCTTGATGTTTCAGAGATCCCTCAGCTTCCGTTCTTGGACCTCAAGTTGCATTTTGTTGGGACCGACCAGCAAACTGCAACTCTTGAAAAGGCAACATCCAGTGACCCCTGCTTTCGCAAAACATATTTCGCACCAGTTGGGATTCGTGGTTTATCCCATTCATGAAGTTTTATTTATCCCAACCGGTGCAGGATTTTGTCTATTAAGAGGAACAATTTGGGACCCCAACAACTTGGAAGCATCCAGACAAAACATTGCCAGACTTTTTTTGGGGGGGTTCACTCTTTGCCTTTTGGTTTGCTACGTGCTCTTCATTTAACCAGCATTTGGCTTTGACTTTGGGGGGTTGGATCTGGACCCAGTGTCCACAAGCGAAATATTGCTCGGCTTCAAGCCGCTTGAAGGGTGCCTGAGGCCCGAAGCATGGGTGTGGAAATCGTGTTTTTTTTAGTTGGCCATGTTCAGTTCCGCACGGGAAGCTCGGGAAAGCCGGGGACAGAACACATGAGTGCGGTAGTTGCTTGCCACTTTCTGCGATACCAAGAGAATCACCTGTTGTCAATACCGGCCCAGTGCTTCCAGGCAAGCCACTACAGTAGGTAAGGGGAGCGCGTCATGCGGGCATGTGTTTTTTTGAGGGTTCCCTTTTCGGGGTTGGTTTAAAGGGAAACCAACAGGAAACCTGTTGCTCGGAGTCCCCTTATTTTGCCACATACCGATTGCAAAGCTCAGAGGTAAGAAACCCGAAGGGTGACCAAAAACATGTCGAACCGCCGAACGGAATCCCCCCTCAAATGGGGCCTGCCTGCCCAGTCTGCTGCCACAAGGCGCGGTGTCCGGTTTCGAGGGCTTTCCGGTCTGGAACTTGGTCAGAACTTCCATGAGGTGACCTGTTTTGACGCGTCTACCTCACCTTCTTACCTGTTTACCTTTTCCGTGGGTTTTGACCCAGGGGATGGGGCACACCTGAAGCGAGCTGACAAATGAAGCACGGGCAACAGCGAATCAACCGGATCCGACATGATGGTTTGCCCCTTTTTGGGGTTCTTCCAAAAGGTGACTGCTTTATTTCTTTGGGCAGCTGAGCAATTCAATGGAGTTGTTTGAGACACCTCCAAATTTCAATCTCAGCAGTCTAAGCACAATTTTCCGTTGCAGCAGTAGCAAGCCTTGCCAAATGTGGCTTTGTCAGGTCATGTTTTTCTCAGGGAAGCTAAAAGGAGGTCGAAGCCCGTATGGCAGGCTCCTCCATATTGTGATGGTTCCACATGAATGTAATGCGGGGTGCGTGGTGGTGTGTCTTTTCTTGTTTAACAAGCGAGAAGCTTACCGCAGGTAAATTGTGCACCATGCACAAACTATTGGTGGGGCCCTGGTAAGAAGGGATTGGTTTCTTCCTCCCGCCGTTAAAACCCCCCGTCTTGTAGAAAAGGAGGTTGTCACTTTAGGCTCAGCGAATTGGGGGCCAACTCAAGTTATGCGTCGCACTTCAGGAATCCGAGTTGGAGTTTCTTTGCCTGCCACATCAAAGTGCAACCGCGTCGCCTCGTTTTTGATTTGTTTCTGGCCCGACTTAGCTTTT